GTGTAGGTCAGACTCATCTACAGTCCTGCCAAATTTCATGTTGATTGGTGCAGCCGTTTTTGTGCTATGGTTGATCAAATTTCGCCGGAGGAATGAATGAATTAATAAATAAATAAATAATAAATAAATAAAAATAAACAGAACGAAAAAAATATGACTCCCGCTTACGCTTAGCGTGCGGTGGTCATATTAAACTGGACACCGCATAGCAATAACATAAAGACCTCAGCACGCAGAAATGCACCGGATCTCAGAAGTCGTTATTCCTAATAAATGTCATGCTACTAGGTGCATCCCAAAATTGTAGTGGTTTAGGAGGGTTTTTTGGAGGGGGGAAGTGCATTGTTATACCTGATGGATAGCCCCTTATCTGAGCTAAACAACTAAAGAAAATTTGAAGTTCCTATGTTTAATAGTTTTTGAGGTATAACCATACCCCTTTTTTCAGATAAATTGGGGGTCCGGGGGGGTGGGGTGGGGCACTGATTGATATGATGGATAGCCCCTTATCTGAGCTAAACAACCAGCGAAAATCTGAAGCTCCTATGTTTAATGGTTTTTGAGCTATAGCAATTTTTGTATGTCCAGATACCCCTTTTTCAGATAAAATGGGGGTCACTGATGATGGCCCTGATGGATAAAGCTTCATCAGAGCTAAACACAAAAGAAATCTGAAGCTTCAATGTTGAACAGTTTCTGAGTTATAAGCATTTTTGCATGTCAAGACACCCCCTCTTTGAAAGGAGCCCCCTCCTCAAATATGGGGTCTATCCTAAAACCGTTGGCTGGTGCAGTGTAGGTCAGACTCATCTACAGTCCTGCCAAATTTCATGTTGATTGGTGCAGCCGTTTTTGTGGTACGGTTGATCAAAAATCACTGAAAAAAAAAAAAACCCTCAAAAAACAGTACGAAAACAATATGACTCCTGCTTACGTTTCATGTGCAGGGTCATAAATACAACCAACAATGGTAAAAACATAAATTGTAATGTCAGGCCTTACTTTAATTAAATGCCACTGAATAAAAATGAGTCGGCATCCAGGGACCCCAGGGGATTAATTGTCATATTAATTTTTATCGGCTAAATACCACAATTAATAGATTCGTTATTTGCCAATGTCGCCCAAACCTAATTTGCACCCTCTGCAAGTGACTAAATATCTGTGTAGCTGTAAGAAAACCAGTAATCACTGAGACTAATCAGAAACATAAATGTTGGACCGTGGTCAGATGAGTCTGGGCTGAATTGATGCATCCATCATGCCTAGTGCCGACTGTACAAGCCTGTGGGGACAGTGCTACGACCTGGGGTTGCTGCAGTTGGTCAGGTTTAGGTTTCGTCCAAAGAATGAGGTCAGCTGACTACCTGAATATTACTGAGTGACCTGGGGCCTCATGTATCAACGCACATAAAACTTGTGTACACCATTTTCCACGTAAAACTCCGGATGTATCAAAACTCAACTGAACATGGAAATGTGCGCAGCCCCACGCCAACTCCAGGGCTGGTGTACGCACTTTTCTGTGGCTTTGGTTCCATTGGCGACACTTAGAGGTGATTCTGAGAAACTGTTCATTATGTGAAAATGATTATTGTTCACACCAGACACACATGATTAACAATTATTACATCCGCATGATTAACAACTATTACATCCACATGATTAACAACTATTACATCCACATGATTAACAACTATTACATCCACACGATTAACAATTATTACATCCACACGATTAACAATTATTACATCCACATGGACGCAGTTAAATAAAAGACGCGCTAATTTGTGCCAATAATACATTTAACAGGAACAGATTCAGCCTTACTGGAAGATATAATAAATAGTGTAACACGCAGATAGAATTTTCTGATGACGAGTGGCTCATCAGCCATTTTGAGGAAAAATCATTTTTTAGTTTGGCACTGCTGCGCAAAGTTAATATTTTCAGACTCAGAATGGATGGATGAGCCGGTTGCGCAACACAGCAGTTTGCGTGCACACACACACCAACACACAATCACTCGTTCTTTGCGTGATAAACATATTTTATTCCTATTTTTACTTACGATTTTTTTTCTCACTCACATTATATTTAATTCATTATTTTTATGACATTAGAAATCATTTCTGATCACGCAGGGATCATCAAACATGTCCTTCACACATGCAGGAAGTAATTAGCATCTGTTTAACATATGTTAATGAAGGCGTGTCAGGGGAGGTGTCTTACCTGCGCTCAGTTCCACGTTAATTGTGATGTACAAAAGAAATGTGCGTGGATTCCAGCGTACGCACAGTTTGATACATCTGGATTTTTTTGTGCGTACGCCGTTTTCTAGATTTGACCGTACGTCAGGATTCAGTAAGAAATCCACGCAAGTCTTTGTACATGAGGCCCCTGGTTATTCCACCAAAGGATTTTTTTCCTTCCCTGAAGGCACCAGCAGATTTCAAGATGACATACCAGCATTAATTGGACTAATTGTGAAACAGTGGTTCAGGGAGCATGAGACCATTTTCACACATGGATCGGCTCCACAGAGTCCAGACCAGAACTCCATTGAGAATCTTTGGGATGTGCTGGAAAAGACAAGCTGGTCAGAACCTTCTGTCATCAACACAAGATCTTGGTAAAAAATAATGCAACTCTAGGCAGAAAAAAGTAAAAGCTAAAAATAGCAGAGTGTGTGGGTTAAAAAGCATTCGTTTTAAAAGACTGCAACCACAGTGAACCAAAAATGATCCAGATCACAGAAATAAAACGTGCTGAGACACGGTTTCATGTTTCAGTCCAACTTGTTTATTTAGTTTTTTGTACTGCGTGTCCTGCTTCAAATCAAACACTGGGTAACTGGGTCCTGATGTTCTGGATTTAATTAATTCCAGCAGCCTCTCACAGCTTCATTTAATCTGTTTTAGTGCAACAAGTCGACTGAAAACTGATCAGACCACTGATCTGACTCCAAACGCCCTGTAAACACAGAGACTTTTAATAAGAATTTAAACTCAGGAGGTTAATTAAACAAATGTCAAAACCTTCAGACTGAACCATCATTCAGTCTGAACATTATTTAGAACTTGTTTAAAAGTTTCCTTTTCCTCCTTCAGATCACTGAAAATGAGATCATCATTCCTGTGAAAGGTACCGACACACAACACAACACATTACACAGAACAACACAGATTTACCACAAACAAACTCCACTAATAAGAAGCATTTTACACAATATTCTGATTTTTTTCCTGTTTCTCAGCTTATGGTGTAATTTCAGTACAATAATTTATAAACTGCAGCTTTTTTTTCACATTGCAAAGAGAGAAAAGGCTAAAAATAATTCTTCTCTCAGAATTCAACCTAATAAAAATAAAAGAATCTAAACAAATAGGTTTTAATGTAGAAAATTGTTTATTTTATTTATATAAATGTATTAGGATATAAACAGAAAATTCACAACAATGATATAAACAGTTAAATTTTTAATTGAAACTTTGTGCTATTTTTGCTGTTCATATATACAATTGTTCAGCTCCTTATTTGTTTTTGTAACTTTTATACTTTTCAATTTATTTAACTTTATTTACCAACATTGTCACCATAGAAAGTCATTAAGATTTCCTCAAAAGTCTCAGGTTATCCTTTTATTTCAGAAAGTAAAGGAAAAATTAAATATTTGAATACCCTAGCAAGTTGCAACAACTTTCCGTGCGGCACACAGTGTGTTCAGCACCAGGAACACATCACACACACACACACACACACACACACTCGCACGCACGCACGCACGCACGCACGCACGCACGCACGCACGCACGCACACACACACACACACACACACAGAAACACATCAGAAAACAGGCAACGTTACCAGTTGTTGCTGCAGATTTCTGTTTATAACATTTGAGTCACAAGCATATGTCAAGTTGTACGGGTTGTCTGTAATACACAGGGATTTTCCACCATTTTGCAGGTATACGGACGTATTGAGCAATCTCACAGATTTCTTCAAGTTTTATGGATTTTTTTCAAAACCACAGTTTCAAATTTAACGTCAGAGCTTGTAGGACAAACAACATCAAATAACCATTTTCTAACGGCTCTGCAGCTAGAAATAAGTTCTCCCGTCATTTCCTCCAGCTTTGCGCTTCAGATGCTTTCATCTCAGCCGTCTACAGTCTGCCTGCACCCCAGCCCCCACCACCGCGTGTGATTAATGCAGATTTTTAACAAAAGTTACAGATTGTTGAGGCTCATCACAAAGGTAAACGTCCGAAGTGGTTGACATAGAGTCTGATTGTGTCAACTGGTTTCTGAGACAATTCTGGTCTTCTTTTATATGCTCAATGACCATATTCCCATTGGGAATAATTTTACTTTCATCCAGTATGGTGGCCATGTTTTGGACATAGCTTTAATGATTGGTCTCCTCACCTATTGCTTGATGACGAATTCAGATATTTCATTTTCCTTTTTGTTTCTGAAATAAATCTAACCATTTTGCATGTTTTAACTTAAATACTTTAATTTCAGCTTCTTTGGGAAGTTTCTGCTGTCATTCAGTTCTCAACATCACATTGTTTTCATAATAAATTCAGTTTCTCTGGTTCATATCGGTTACAAACTTATTAAACTGGTATGCTCTTTTTATCAGGCGTTCTTTTTGTTTTCAAAAAGATCATCCATTTCAACATCTGTTTCAGCTGTAATAAGTTTGTCTTCTCTGTGCATCTGTTTTAGGACAAGAAGACAGCCAGGTGACAGTCGTGGCCTCTCAGCTTCGAGGTTATGGCGTCTGGGATGGGGGCGTGGCTCAAAGCGGGACTCTGCTGACTGAATGGGAAGGCCCCGCCCCTTCTTTGCTTTTCCTGTGGGTGTCAGAGCCCCAGGCCAACCTGCTGCAGAGGGAGCTGTTGGCCGTCCAGAGCTTGAGTGCTGCTGCTAACGGTACCTTCAGGTTCTTCTATTTGAAGGTCAAACTGTCCATCCATCCATTATCTATACCTGCTTCTTCCTTTCAGGGTCACTGGTGCCCATATCCTGTGCCGCAAAGCACAGCTAACAGGGCTCTAGACTAACTTTTTGCACTGGTTGCACCGGTGCGCCTAACATTTTTCCTTAGGTGCACCAGCACAAAAGTTAGGTGCACCCAAATTTTCAACCAGGTCACATTTAACATCAGAGTTTTTACAGGTTATTTTTTAATCACTGTTCATTAAGGCAACATTAACTCAAAAATAATTAGTTAACAATCTAGTAAACATGAAGTTCTTTATTTGAACCAGAATTGTACAAGACCTATAACTCACTGAAAAGTATTTAAAGTGATTCTATAAAATTCTAAGAGCAAATGTTTAAGGGCTGAACATCTTATAAACATATTAAACATTTCATGGTTAAATTTTTTAGACACCTGTCCCTCAGATGGACAACTGTGGATCTTTGGTCTTGGATAAACCAGAATGATGAACAGAGAATAATGATTTATAACAGAAATATTACTGATATTTATTAAAAGGTTGTGCAGATTTTTTAAAAATAACACATAAAAGTCGGCAATTTCATCATTAGTTGAATCTTAATAGCTTATACAGCATCATTTCACTTAAATATCTAATATGTCTGTTTTATCCTCCTGAGACCCAGAAGAAACTATTTCAGATACTTGGAATGTAACTGTGGTGAAGTCGATTAAGTGCAAAAATGGCCTGCCATACATGCGAACTTCCTCGTCCTGCTGAAACGATCTGCAGCACTCACAGACCTCGACTGTTAAATTAACAAGATGGACGAGCGAGCAACCATCCACATCTTGTTTTCATCTCCAGCTAACAAGAAAGAACTGGTTTTAGACTCCGATCTGGGTTTAAAAAAACAAAAACATACGGTTGTTTCGCTATGCGTGCGCGCACGCGTGTTTGTGTACAGATTTTGGCTTCATGATGGGTAAAATTATTGACCATTTCCCCGGTACACACAGCCTGGTGAGGTTAGGGTTTGGGTCAGGTGTGTAGTCTACCTGGGAGGTTATGGTTGGCTATAGAATTGACGGGGAAATGAATGGAAGCCAATGCAATGTCCCCATGAGGATAGAACAACAGACGTGTGTGCGGGATGTGAGGAGCGGAGCCCGCGAGCAGAGCGCAGTGTTATTAGGAGAGATGGAGACTGTCGGTGGGCGACCATTGATACTGCTGGATTATTTTTTATGAAACATGGAAACGTTTTGTTTCAGCAGGCGACCGCTCCCCCTCTCCCTTGAACGATTGGTCGCACCAGTGCGACCTGACATTTTTTTTAGTCGCACTATTAGGAAATCAGGTCGCACTCCAGAGCCCTGGCTAAACTAAACGTGTCAATTTAAAATTTCCTGAAAATAATCAGGCTGGATTCAGTTATTCTTTTTATTCCTCATCCTTTGTCTCATAGGATCTTTACATTAGTCCAAAACAAATGCATTTACCTGAATAAAAACCAGGAATTAAAGGGGCAATTTCATGTAAAATCAATTTTTTGAGTTTTATATCATGTTATAATGTTATACTCTCATAAAAAACATGCCCAAAGCCTTGCTCTGACTCATTCATGCATGTTTGAGAAATCCTGCAGCGTTTTTAGGAAGTAAACTGCATCATAGCACCCCCCACCCAGTCTTTTTTCCACAGTTTGATTGACCTGTGTGGTTTTTCAGAAGAAAGCCGGTCAAACAGATGTTCAGGGTGACATAAGTCATTGTTTATCATACTTTCAGTATGTTGTTTACCTGCTGAGGCTAGGGGAGCTGTACTGGTCATCCAGGCTAGGCAATAAGCAACTAATGATCCTCCCACTCTGACCCAGCTTAAGTTCGAGTCAAACACTTTCTGAATCATCTGCACAAAAACACACACAAACATATTATGCTAGGTCACAAACGTTCCGCAAACAAATCAAAGTGGTAGACAGGAAACAATAGTTTAGTTTCCTCCTGGTCTTGTTTTCTCTTATTCTACTTGTTTTTACATGTTCACCTGGTTTCCTTCTTGTCTCTTCCTGGACTCTGTTGTTTCCTGATGTTTTCCTCCTTGTCTCCTCGTTGGTTTTGTTTTCCTGTTCTCCACAGCCCCGTCATGCTGCGTCCTCCTCCTGGTGTTGAAGGAGCAGCTGCAGGAGCTACAGACCGCTCTCCTCACCTCGATCTTGGACATGGAGGAGTACAAACAGGCCCGTTCATCCTCCTCCCCCATCGACTGGACTGACGGGCTGCTGTTGGTCCACAGCTGTCCTCCTCCTGTTGACCAGCACCTCCTTCGCCTACTGGGACACTCAGCAGTAAGAAAACCTTTTAAATTAAACACCAAAAGCTATAGAAAAGTGCATTTATGCAACAAAAATTCTTCTCAGTTGTTTTAGTTCTTAGGCTAGCAGTTGACATATATATATATATA